TAGAATCACAAATTTCTCCGGTGGCGGTAGTCACCTGCAACGATGGAGAAAGCACAGACATGGGCAACTCAAGCCCCACAACAATCGGGGTTGCAACAAACGAATGCGTAGCCCCGGAATCAAGAAAACATCAACCGATGAATCACCAAAAGAAAACAGTACCTCTGACAAGGTTCGGAGCTCGGTCCGACTGCTGCTGATCCAAGGTATACACACGATCAGTCTCTGGTGGTACAGGAAACATCTGGGTAGGAGCCGTCTGAACTGCTGCAGCCCTCGCCATGGACAACAGACACTCTCTAGCATAATGGCCCTCCTGGCCACACTGAAAACAGATAATATGGTCGATATCACACGACCCTAGATGGAACTTCCCACATCCCGAGCATCTGGGAGTAGGAGGTTTCGCTGCACTCCCAGGAAACATCAGAAAGAGGGCCGTCTTAACTGCTGCGGCCCTAGTAACTAAATTATAACAATCCTTGGCCATATGGCCATTCTTCCCGCATTTATAACATAGCAACTCCCCAGTAGCACATCGTCCCAAATGCTCCTTTCCGCAACCTACACACTGCGGGATAATCAAAGGTCTAGTAAAGTTGCTTACCAGAGAAATAGACCTTTTGAATTTGTTGCGCAATTGTTTGACCTGTAGACGCTTCCTTTTACCTCTGACTCCAAACTTCTTGTCCCTCCAGGAAGTGGAACCACTGTTTCCTTTAGCCTCAGATCCTTTAATTTTCTTCACCTCGAGGTTCATACGAATCCTCTCGGGATCACTGCCCTGCTGAATGCAAGTATTAAGGTCTTTAGACATCGATCCAGCTATCCTCTCCATGTGACATACTGAAACATTTTGTATTCCTGCAGCTTGCTCCGCCTTGGTAGCGCGCCTGTAGATAAGGCGGCCTGACTTGCCACATCTGAAACATACGTTTTGTCCTTGTCCGCAAGTACCCAAAGGAGCCTTTCCACACGGAATGCACTTAAGCAGCGATGATTCATTCCCAACAAACAACCCTCCAGCTCCACTCCCACCCTGCTGTGGGGATGGAGGTGGTGGCAGCGGAGGATGTTGGTCGTCATGACGACCAACTCCCAACTCCTTCAATACGACCCCAACCATGGTCATATACGCCAGTCGATTCGCCTCAAGGGCATCCTCCGTGACCTTCTGGTTCGCTTCCCTAACGGCGTCCATCATTGCCACATTGGCCAATCTAGTGGCCTCCTGATCGGCTAACCTAGCCGCCTGTATCTCAGCCAATGCAGTCAGGATAGGATTGGGTTGATCCTCAAAAGTCTCTCGTGTTCTCCCGGATCTCACCATGACTCTGCACAAGTTACACAAATTGTGAGTTGATCAGGCCCACGCACTGAGATCACATATGCATCTTCATAATAAGATTCGATGGAGTAAACACACAAGACAGACACGACCAAACATCCCAGCTATTGCAATACATACATGCTTTTCCCTCAAACCATTGCTCTGATACCATAAATATAACACCCCGTATATATCCGGTAATGTTATCATACTATCGTATTAAGCAGCGCTTAATTAAAAATGCAGAATATCTTTTTCTTTTCAATTATGAAGTCATTAACATTACCAACATGCTTATTAATCAATTAATAAAACATCGCCTGTATGTAATTGTAATAAAACAGCTAACTGAAATACCTCAAAACATAGATATATAAGTGTGTCTCTAGAAGTCACGGAACTACAACCACGTACACCGGACCAACTAGCAGGTTATACAACTCCAATCTAAAAGTACTAACATAAAGTGTCATGGACAATCCCCATGCTCACTCAAATAAGGCAACACGCCCAACATCAGTCTCAACAACAACATAAACATACATAGCGGAAAATATAAACAGCATCCAAATCCAGTCATGGCAGTAATACAACATAATATCATAATCAACTAAGCTCTGACCTCCTGCCGCCAGAGGCATCAGTCACCATACTACCTGAACCTGAAATAAGCATTCCCCAAACGTGGGGTGAGATCTCTAAGAAGAAATCTCAGTAAGACAAGGGGTCCTCAAGGATCTTCCACCCCAAGCTCACTTACATGTGCAATATAAGTTTAAAAGCAGTTCATCAATATCATTTCTAAAATAGTGCAATGCAGCAGATAATCATGTCATGTGTGTCAATTCTATTCTACTGGCCAGAGAAATGCAGGATTTATATACGTCTAATACCCACAAATAGTGCAAGACGCTACTTGCATCCATCCCGGATCACCGTCTTGTATGACGCTACATACTCAGGCTTACCGTCAAGATGGAACAACACATACATATTAAATGACATTACACATAAAGCTCAACAACATTTCATATATCAAAAACATGTAACACAACATGCATATAACCATACCCCCATGGGACATGGTGAAACCACAACATGGCTAAACCGAGGACACGAAAGCTTACCTTGCAAGCTCACTATCCAATGCCACAAGCTTAAAGTCCAACACACAGCAGATCACAATCTGATTTAGGACTAGCAAGTATATCAATAACATAGCTCATAAGCATAAACATAAAGACTACGTTTCTTTGTTACGTTTTACGTCTTAAGGCTTCCCACAAAGCCACAAGCCCTTAATTCCTTGATTCTGACTTAGTTTCAACTCCATCAAAATAGGGTCCACAAACCCATAACTCCAATCTGTATGAACAGTACCTTGCTGTCCTTCGAAAACCCAGAATATCCGGATATATGTCGGGGGCATATCCGGATATCTCCAAGCCCATATCTGGATATCAATATCCGGATATCATATCCGGATATTTCGCGACAGAATGCAGTTTCCACATTTCGCGAGATATCACTCTCAAGGTTCCATTTTATTAAAACTGAAGTTGTAATTCTTTACCGAAAATTCTGAGATTTTAATATGTTAAACTAGACATCACAAGATTTCCAACGACATATCTTATGTCTCATTCAGAGTTGTATAACTCCGGTTATGATTTTCGCAAAATGACTGCTGCCAACTGAATTTCCAGCAACCAAGATGCGACTTTAAACTAACACTGAGATCAAACCACTTATCCAATGGCTACGAAATTTTACAAAGTTGTAGCCCTATGTGTTAGCTACACATAGGTCCAAACGACACTCGATTTGGAGCTCTGTAGCTCAAGATATCGAATTTTTACCAAAGCAGGTTCGTTGCTGTCCCCATATCCGGATATGCCATATCCGGATATTTCACAACAGAGGCCACAAACAGCAGCCTAGCATGAAAATATCCATTTAAAATTCCATCTTTCACCTAGATACATCTATCCCATCGATTTAACATGTATTTTAACACTTAGATCCATCAACCGACGTTCAAATTATCAAAACTCATAATTTTACATCTTTAAATCATATTATTTTCATGAAAACACAAAGGGAAATGTTGAGACATATACCCATGAGCTTCAAAACAGCAAAATGGGTGCTCTTGGAGCTCTCAAGTCAGCTCCATGGTGCTGCCAACAAGGGTACACGAAAATGGCACCCACAACGGTTCTTTCTTCACAAATGTTGCTCCTTGGAGCTCCCACAACCAAGGAGATGGCTCCCAACACTCAAACAAAGAGACTCAGCCCAAGGTACTCACTCCAACAGAGATGAACAACTCAGAAAACTGACCTCTACTTACACCACACACTCTACTAAGTGTTTACAAGGATTTGCTAGAGAAGAAATCAAGGAAAAATGACAACTTGGTGGTTTTTCTCCTAGGCAAGAAGGCAAGGAAGAGAGGAGGCTGGTCAGCAGCTCCAACTCACGTAGAATACCAAAGGAAATGACCTAGGAATCTGTGCTTATAGTATATATAGTCACATTAAGTCTCAATCACACTGTATTAGCGTTAATTGCTACGTTTAGCAATTTAATCCCAAACTTTGGATTCGTAACCTACTCAATTTTACAAGAATTGTCATATTTTTATTATATTTTTCTGAGCACCTTTCCGGTACGCGCTTCTCATAGCCAGTATCAATTTCTGGCACTAGTTCTCATTATTTGGATTTGAAACTCGTTTTACAAGTTCTATATATTATTCTAGTAATTATCATGTACTTACTTTAATTTTTCGGGATACTTTTTTCGGTACGCATTTATACCGACTAGCAGAACCGGTATCTGCACTTTTCTTCCGAAAAGCGACTTTCAGCATTCTTAATCACTTACTATATTTATTAGAGCCTCATAATAATTATTAGGGTCAATTATGAAATCATTTCCTATATTCTCATAATTAATTAATTAAATACCTTAATTAACGGTGCAGGTTCTTACAGCAACTGTTATCTTTTACATATATATATATATATATATATATATATATATATATATATATATATATATATATATATATATATAGGGCTTATCATTTTTCAAGCTGCCGGAGATAATTTTATCTTCGACTACTAAATCATAACCATACAAAGATGGATCAATGACAATAAAGGAAGAGAGAGAAAAACAGAATCATAACTATTCAAAGGTGAATAAATTAATATAAGGAAATAAATAAATAAAACGACGTAGTTTTTGGATGACCGGAGATAAACTTATCTCAAGTTGCCGGATAAATATTTTTCCCATATATATATAATTGTGTAGAGTTCACGTGGTCTCATATAAATAAAAAGAGAAAGAAAAAATATAAGACTTATACATATTTTTATGTGTGTAGGAGATAAATTAATTTCCTATAAATTATAACCGTTGATTGATGGAAATCAATGATTAGTATTTAAAATGACACAAAATTACATCCTTTAAAAAAATAAATATTTTTTCCTAAATAAAATAGAGAAAGGTTATACTTACTACTTGTTACTACCAAATCGTAACCGTTGATTTCCGTCAAGCTATCGGTTATAATTATTGCAAATAAAATGTTATGTAAAAAATAATAATAATAGAGAAAAAGGGAAATTAGGAATTAAGGATTACAATCGGAGGAGGAAGAAGAGAACGGAGACTGAAGAGGGAGTGGGAAAGAGCGAGAAACCACAGATCTGCGAGAGAAGAATAGAGGAAGCGCGTGTTTGTTTTGTTCGCGACACTTCAATCGAGTATCGACCTTCTCCGATTCCGGTAACTCCTCCGATTTCGTTTCCCTCCGCATTCTCCCTTGTTTCCCCCTTTTCTCTTGATATAAATATATGGTTATAATTGTTATTGTTGTCAAACTCAAACCTCATAGAGAAGAATATTGGTTAGGGATGTGGTAGTTATAGGGTAATTACTGGTTTGATTTCTATCTTCACTTTTCTAGTTTTTCTTGTGTGCATCCGCATTCTCCTTCAATTGCCTTGCTTGTTTTTTTCAGTTTTTTTTTTTTTTATTCTGTCTAAAGAAAATTTGTGTGTTTGTTTGTTTTCTCAGAGCTCTGTGGTGGTTCTCATTGCTTTTGTTTCATGAGAATAAGACCCCATGGCAAGCCATCCTGCAAAATTTGCTCCTTCAAATGGGTCTGTCTATGTATGCAACTTGCCTTATGGGACTGACGAAACTATGTTGGCTGAATATTTTGGCACCATCGGATTAGTAAAGGTATGGAGTATGTGCAGATATCATTTAAATTGATGTTATCTTATTGTCCAAGTCCAAATTTATTTCCTTTATCATGAATGAGCGGAAATTTTATAAGGAATGTAAATATTGTCACATATTGGGGGTGTTTAGTGTTTTTATTATGGTCAGGTTGGAATCTTATATTTCTATGTAAGATGTGATTATTTATACGAAATTGTGGTTTTTTATCCTTGCAAAATTAGGTTTATTTGGGATTGTCTATATGAAGACTAAAATGAACAATAGTTTCGAATTTTCAATGAATCATTGATTTGATGTTTGTTGTTTAATTTCTCTCTCCTCTTTATATTGTGCCTGTTTTTTCTCTGGGGTGCATTCTGTTTCTTAGTCCTATTTCATTTACCATTCATGCTTTGCAGAAAGATAAACGTACAGGAAGACCAAAAATATGGTTATATCGAGACAAAGAGACTAATGAACCAAAGGGAGATGCTACTGTAACATACGAGGATCCGCATGCTGCTGTAGCTGCTGTTGAATGGTTTAATAACAAAGATTTTCATGGTAATATTATTGGAGTTTTTATAGCAGAGTCAAAAAACAAGGATGATCAAGCATATAATTCAGTAGTAGAACCAAGTGTTGCTGATAATGTTGGTGCACTAGAGGAAACTACCAGGGATGTTGATGGTGGTAGTGGAAGAGGTAGAGGCCAAAATGATACTTCAGGCAAACCATGGCAACAAGAGGGCGATTGGTTGTGCCCAAATACAAGGTCTGTGATATGAAATTGGTGAGCAGCTCTTTCTTTCCCTTTTACTCACTGCTTCAGTCATTATAGATGATTTAGTGTAGAGAGAATAATTTTTTTTCCTTCTCATGGCAGTTGCTCCAATGTGAATTTTGCTTTTCGTGGTGCGTGTAATCGCTGTGGAAGTGCTCGTCCTGCTGGTGCTGCTGGTTTTGCAGGGGCTGGTGGCCGTGGAAAGGGACGTGCTGGACAAGAATCTGGGGAAATTGGCCGTCCAGGTGGTGGAGGACTTTTTGGTCCCAATGATTGGCCTTGTCCAATGTATGATTGTGTCAAATTGTCCCAGTGTCCTTTTTTCTTTTGTGTTTGGTTTCTTTAAAAATTTTGTTGTTGAAATCCAAAATTCATTATTTGAGTGATAGCATTTGGAAATTTCTTATAAAATAATAAAACATGTTGCCCAGCTGCATCAATACCTTCTTGTGTTCTATTATTTTGGAAGAAGTATTGGCAACCATTTTAAACATGAGTAAATTGATATATGATGGTGAGATATACGTTTATATTCATATGATACATATACACAACCTATATGTGTGCATAAAGATGGCTCAAACACTCTTACCGCTTCCTGTTTAATTGATGTCAATTCATCCCATACCCTACTTTTGCACTCTGCAAAATTGGCTGCACGAGGTTTATTAATTTTTGTTGGAAATTGCACGTACTCATCTTCATGTATTATCCCAATTGCATTCCCTCTTGCCTTAACTATCAATTTGGCACATCCCATCCTCTGCTATTCAAGTTGTCTGTGAAATTGTAAAGGAAGCAACCATCATGTGACTGAGGTAAATCTAGTTGCCTTTCCAAACTCCAGAGTCACATGAGGTCTGCTGGTTCTGTTACAACTTGTGGACAATTTGACTGTTCAGAGGCTGTTGGTAATGGGATGATGGATTAGAACTTTGCATGAGGTTTTATTTGAAAATGACCATCAGTAATCACTGGTAACTTCTTTGACACTTTTATTATCCTTTCCCGGGTTTGGATCCATGGCCCCAGCTACTGAACCTCTCTTTCCTCTGTCTCTCCTGTTCTTGTGGCAGTTGATTTTGCATTTTCAATGCATTTTGATTCCAACTGGTATAGTAATATGTGGCAAGGTTGCATACTGTTGGGACTTGGGAGTTTAGTGCAAGCTGGCTATGATTTATGGAATTATGGTCAGGTCTATCATCATTGAACACTTGCCTGAGGAAGTTACACCTGACATACAACTTGAACATCACATACATGCTGTTGTGGTTTATGCAGTATTTTTAAAATAAAAATTTAATATAATGATTTGTCTTTCTTGTGTTTTTTTTTTTTCTTAGGTGTGCCAATATCAATTGGGCAAAGCGGACTAAATGCAATATTTGCAATACAAATAAGCCTGGACATAATGAGGGTGGTGTAAGGTATTATGTTTGATTCTTTTTATACCCTGTAAATGATAGTTAAGGAGAAAATACATTTTTTTGTTAGAAAAATGAAAAATTTGTATAAACACATGCTCTGTCTTTACTTTTAAAAAACTGAATTAAAAGCTTTAATGTGTAAAACAATTTTAAAAAGAAGTTCCCTAAAAATAGGAATTGGATGTAAGAGATGGGACTGTATGACTATTTTGAATGGACAATTTTCTCTTCTCTGTTAATTTATATTAAAAATAAAACATGGACTTGAAAGAAAAGAAAAAAATGGATGCCATTTGGGGAGTCCCCTTTCTATGGTAGTAGATATACATGTCTATGTCTTATTGTTCTTGTTAAATTCATAAGCAAATGTGCATATAAAAAATATCATGCAATATGTGCCAAATGTGATTTGACTGTTAATGTGTCATTGTACATGTGATTTATGCCATCGTACTTTTAATCCACTGAGAATTAAGAAACTAACTTTTAAAGGGCTAGTATATTAATATAAAATGTTGATTTCAAATTGTCTAGTATATATTTCTTATTTGTTCAAAATCTCACTTAAAAATTTGATATGTATGGGAAAACTGAATAATCATTTTATTCTGCCTTACGTGATTAGACAACTTTGGTTTTAGCTGAGTTGTATATTAGGGAGTGAAGTACAGTGTTGATTATTGTATTTGTGCTTATAGCATAATTATAGACCTCCAACCAACTCTCCAATATGTTTTTCAAATAGAAATTTAACGTGAACTTCGTTTGTGAAAATATTAGCAAAGATGTTTTTCACTATCATTTCAGTATTTCACAGCATAAAGCATCTTGTTGCAATCAAACTTCAGTAAAGCTTTTTCATGGTAACTATCCCTTATTTATGCTTGGAAGTGTGTGGGTGTGTGTCTGATTTGTATCCTTAAGTCTGCTTTGTAAAATGTATTGCTTTGTGTTTTCTGGGGAATACTGTTAACTCTGTCCTTCTGGGAGACTGGGAGAATGTCAAATTAGGAAGTCTTGGCAAACTAATTTCTGGTTAGTGATAAAATTGACCTAAGTCAGGATATATTGTTAATCCGGTTAGTGTTTGTTTTAAACATGGATTAACCATTTTTTTTAATTTTGGTTTCAAATTTGGAAATGTTGGATTTCCTAGATCACAATTCTCCCCTCCAATTTTCATGTGCACAACTTCATTTTAGCGCCTGCCATACTATTCAATATTCTTTTTTTTAAATGTGGTTGACATTACTCTGCTAACTTAGGTTTGCACTTTCTAATTATACAGAGGGGGCCGAGCTGGAGGTTACAAAGAGCTTGATGAGGAGGAAATAGAAGAAACTAAACGTCGTAGGCGGGAGGCTGAAGTAAGATTGATCAAAAGTTTGATCATCGTACATGTTATATAAATTACCGTGAATTTATAATTTGTATTTTTACTGTTAGGATGACGGGGAGTTGTATGATGAGTTTGGAAACCTTAAGAAGAAATTCCGTGCCAAAACTCAGCAAGCTGAAGCTGCACAAGTGCTTCCGGGTTCAGGGCGTGCTGGTTGGGAGGTTGAGGAACTAGGTATTGTTGCATATTTAAAATAGTTTATATTCTATAAATTCATTACAGCTTCGTGAGCTAGTCAAGCTCTAAAAGCCCCTACGTCCTCCACCACACTTTTCCCATATGCTCCCTAGCACTAATACATTTTTGAATAATCATTATGGGCATAATGGAATAATCATTATGATTGCATATGTCATCTTTTTCCTTTTTTTATTTCTTTTTTCATTTATCCTTTTTAGCATTCTTGCTCCATAGGCTTTGTGCAACTGGTTGATCGTCCTACACTAATGTCTTGCATAAAACTAAATTGAACTGGTTATTGGTTTTGGAGTATTTTATAAAGGTGGGAATTGTCATCAATGCCATGTTGACTTAGCTCTCGTGGCTAGTTCGTGTATGGATGTGTAGTTAAGTTCAAGTCATGGTAACAAATATCCAATTTACAAAAAATAAGAGTTATATATGTTAGTGTCTCTCTGATTACTGATCATTTAACGTGTTTTTATGAAATTATGAATTAGTTGGACCTGCAGTAACCAAGTTAGTCTGTAATAATACCTATGGCAGGGATTGAAAGGGATGCTAGAGAAAGAAGTAGAGACAGAGGAAGGGAACGTAATGATGGGGAAAACAGGAACAGAGAGCGAAATGAAAAAGAGCGGCAAAGCGGTCGAAACAGAGAGAGGGACAGGGGAAGAGATCGAGACTGGGACTATGTTGATCGAGATAGAGATTATGGGCGAGATCGGGACCGAAGTAGACACCGTTATTAAAAAATAGCAGCAAAAGTGCATTGCATTTTGATGTATTGACTACCATACCATGATGTGTTGGGTTTTTTGTGGAAGGATTTCAATTGCTTTAAATTAAATCTGTATCTTTAGGGGTTAATACGCGCAATCTGATGAATGTTGATTTTACTTGGCATTGACCTTTTGTATAACCTAAGATATTCATGCTTTTAGTCTTTTTACAAGGACAACTTTCTATTTGAGAATGTTTGCAATAGATTGAACCTTTAGTTTGTAGTCAATCATTTTTTATTTTTATTTTTGTATGTGTATCAATTTGTTGTTTTATGAATGGAGTAAAAATTTGGAGGAAACGACCGAAGAACACAAGTAATTGGTATGCTAAACCACCTGACAATCTGTTGCCTTCTCCATAGGTGTGCTTAAAATGCCTAATTCCGAGTCCATTTGTTGGACAGTGCTGCTTTGTATATTAAATTTGAAAACTTTGACGAACAAAGTTTAGCACATGTGGAAGATAGTTGAGTTCATGCTGACAAATGTTTGATTTCTCACAATGTGTATGAAAAATGTTTTATCAGGAGAGGTTTATTCATTTAATGTGATATCTTGTATCGAAAGATTAGTCTTCGGTAGGAGGATAGAGGATACTTTGGGAAATCATTTTTTTTTTTTGAACGGGTTAATTAATTTAATGTTATTTTGAATATTTTTTCTTAATAATATATGTAAAGAAAAAACAAAAATATGAATATTTATTATATAAAATATAACATACAAAAATTCGATATACTCTACCTATTAGCAAAAAAATAACAATTAAGAACAAGTATTAGAGATATAAATCAATTCAATTGAAGGCTATAAAAAAAAACGATAAATGTATTAATTTTTTTTATCTATTTATATTTTTTTATAATTCAAATAATCAACATTTTGTTAATCATTATCAAATCTACATCGTTAATGGAGAGTATCTTTAAAGGGAATATTTCTCATATTAAAAAAAATAATTTTATCTCTTATACACATATATGAGAACTATATTTTCTTTTTCTTATTCTCATATAACCTACATGAGCCATATATATTTTTATGTATATATAGGAAATAAAATTATTTTATAGAAAAACACTAATCTCATATTCAAAAAGGTAACTTTGAAAGTTCAAGTTGCTTGGAGGAGGGGGTAGAGGTGTTCATTAACATATCCAAATCAATTCAAATCGCGGTGACCGAATTGAAAAATCGATAATTGAATTAACCAAAAATTGAAAAATCGAAAAAAAACGCATATTTTAATTGGATTGGATCGGTTTTCGATTTGGTTGGTAAGTAAAAATCAATTCAATCCAAATCAATCTAATGTATTATGTATTTATTAATTTTGAAAGATGATGGCTTCGAATCTTAGTTTTGTAGACTTGAATCTTGGATATCCTGTTTTAGTTTAGTATTGTTTATTAATATATTTTAACTCTTCAAGAATTTTAAGATTTGTTTTAGTTGAAAGACTTAAATTTTTTAGTAATTTGTAATTTTGCATGATTTTATTTTATAGAGTTGAAATTTTAAATTTTTTGAAAAATCAAAAATCGATCCAATTTAAATCGAATAAAATTGAATTAGATAGAATCAAATTTAAAAAAAAATCCAAACTAAATAAATAAATAATTAATCAATGGAAAAGTTATATTTACAACTTATTTTCGTTTACAACTTCTTACAATCATATCTTAGCCGTTGATTTCCGTCAATCAACGGTTAAGATTTTTGCAAATCAAATTTATTAATTAATTATTAATTTATAATAAATGACAACCGTTGATTGGCGAAAATCAACAGTTAAGATATGATTGCAAGAGTTTGTAAATTATTTGAATTGTAAATATAACTCCTCCATTAAATAATTAAACTAGGGGGTGTTTGATATGCAATATTCTCCAGGATTCTCGAGAAACTGAATTTTTCTAAATTTTTAATTTTTGAATATTATCGTAAACTGAATGTAAAAATTATATTTCTGAAAATTGAGATTATCGGATAAAATAAAATTGAGATTTCTGAATGTGCATGACAACCATTCTATTCCCGAGCACTGTTTCTGAAAAGAAACAATTCTTTTCTATTTCTGTGCCTTGGAACAGTTTCTGAGAAAAAAAATGTGTTTGATAACATGTTCCATTTTTATTCCGAGAATGAGAATTGTATTTGATAACACAACAAATAATATAATAAAAAATAATTCCTATTAAATATAAAAAAATTTCGGATCAACTCTTTCTTTTCCATATGGTGTGGTTGTGGTGGTGGTGGCGGCGGCGGTACGATAGTGGTGGTGGCAGTGACGTGGTAAAAATAGTGGTGGTGGTTGTGTCGGCAGTGGCTGCAACGATGACGGTGATAATGGTGGCAGCGACGGTGGTAGTGGTGGTAGAGGTGACGGCAGTGGCAGCGACAATGGTGGTGGGTATGGTGGTTGGTGGCGGCAACAATGGTAGCAGTGACATGGTGGTGGTAGTTGTGAAGGCATCATGGTGGTGGCAGTGGCTGCGGCAGTGGTGGTAGGTGACAGTGGTGGTGGTTGGTGGCAGCGGCGGCGACGACGGTGGTAAAGACGGTAGTGGTTGCGGCAATGGTAGTGGTGGTTGGTGATAGTGGTGGTGATGGTAGTGGCGGCGTCGTGGTGGTGGTAGTGATGGCGATGAGGGTGGTGGCACTGGCGTGTGATGGCGATGGTGGCGGTGACGGCAATCGTGGCGATGATGGTGGTAATGGTTGATGGCGGTGATAGTAATGGTGGTGGTGGTGGTGGCGGTGGCGGTGGCGGTGGCGGTGATGGTAGTTGTGGTGGTGGTGGCATGGTGGTAGTGATGGGTGGAGGTGGTGGTAATGGTGGCGGTGACATCGTGGTGGTGAGGGGTGGTGACGGCGGCATTAGTGGTACGATGGCGGCGGCGACGATGGTGGCGACAGTCGTGTCGGGATGATGGTGGTGGTGATGATGGTAGAGGTGAGAGTGATTGAGAGAGATAAGTGTTTCTCATTTTGAGCCCGGGAACAAAAAAACAGAAATTTTTTGATTCTTTTTTCTGTTCCCCAGCATAAAAAAAATCTTCGGTTGGGGGATTAGTCTCGTCCTTTCTCCGGCTGCGAAGCTTAGTGCACCCACTGTTACAATGAGGGGCTAGCCCAAACGGGCAGTACCCCGAGGGCATGGTGCCCGGAGAAGGTTGAACGAGGATGGCAATGTACCAAAAAAAAAAAAAAATTAAACCGGTTCATCCCGGGAACAAAAAAATAAACCGGTTTTACCAAACGAGTTTCCTATCCATTTCTATTTTCGGGAAGAGAAATTAAAAAAGAATTGATTATGAGAAGGTTGTGCATCCCAAATGACCGAGGAATTGTATGAGATTATTTTTCTTTGAAACCGATCTAATGAGGGTGGGAAACACCCAAGAAGGGGCGTCTTAGTACACGTGGGTAATGACGGATAGGGAGGGCCACATTAACAGCGTTTTCGTTCGTGGCAGAGTCGGTCCCGTCCCGAGTCCGTCTCCGTTCACGACTTTCATTCTCTTTTTTCCCTTTAAGGCCAAATCCCTTTTCCTCACCTTCTTCCCTCTTCCGTGTTCCCTTCCGTAACCCTATCTCAGATTTTATATTAACCTCTCTCTCTCTCTCTCTCTCTCTCTCTCGGCCTCCGCTTCAACCTTTTCTTTCTTCACCGGTAGGTTCCGTTGTGTTTCTTGTGAGTATTAACTTAGGGTTTCCATCACTTTCACGATTTCCATGGCGATTATTATGTGTTTCGTTTGAATTTGTGTCTTTATTATGTCCTTTTATATTATAACCGGATTCTTGCTGTGCATACTGGTTTCTTTTCAATATTTGTGCGGAAGATAATTGGTTTTTGGGGCTAAAGGTGATCATTACATGTATCTTGCACAAGATTACTGAAATTTTCCAAATTGTTTCCCAAAATATCCAGTGAATTAGCCCCTTATATTTGCAAGATTGAGCTCCTATATGTTTTTTTAATGATTTCTAGCTCTATGCTGGCTTTTGTAGGTATCTTGAAAGTTAGTCATGTGAGAAATACCAATGAACATGGCACTCGAATTTTGTGTTGTATGGTGTCAATGTGTGCTTAAGATGCTGGCATTGTGTTTAGATTTTTTAGGTTGTTTAAGATTTTCAATTTTTCATTTTATGATTATCTTCTAACAGGCAAAAGATTACTTCTTTTTTATGGTTAATTTTTCCTCTTTAAGAGCTACCTTTATGTGGATTAATATTCTTATCTGTTATGATATTGGGGTTTTCAGGTTGCAAATAGGATAAGGGAATATTATACCAAGGTCCAAGATGAGCTCTCGGACAGGCAGGAGCACTGCTGTCAGAAGCTACCGGCGGAGGAAGACAGTTTTGGACTTAGACCTTAACCGTGTACCTGCTGGTGGTGAGAATCGTGAGCAGGAGGGACCTTCAACTCAGTTGGGGTCTCAAGAAGTTCAAACTAACCAGCAACCACAGGTTGTACAACCTGCGTTGATCGATGTGGAGGTCATTGATGATGATGTTGTTGAATCTACCCCAAGGGCTTTTGCAGAGGTTTATCTTTCTTCCTTTTTCTATATGCTTTGTTTCTATTGTTTTGTCAGTCTTTATTATATTTCTTTGTTGGAAATTAATCTCATTTGTTCATTTGTGTTTCATCTTAGGCTAAAAACAATTCAAGAAGAAATCGTGGGAGGACTATAGTTGATGTGGATTTAGGTAACATGTTATTCCTTTCCTCCACTTTCATATGCTTTTTTCTAGCCAGTTTGTGCTGGTCACGAACATTGTGTTTTTGAAAGAAGACAACAATTGTCAGGTAAGTTAACCTTATAGCCAGTAGATTTGCCTCAGCCAAGGTAATCAAAGGCAACAATACAACTCAAGTTGCAATATGCTGGAAGTTTGTTTATAGCCAAGCATTGGGAATGTTAAGAGTTATGTATGGGTTAGGGAGTGTGTTATTTTGGTAATTGTGGAGTTATACCATGTTTGTCCTTCAGTGAAAACATCTTTATTTTTCAGTAGTGTCTCACCTAACTTCCCCACCCCCACCCCAGCGCCCTCCAATGCTTTGATATGCTGATTGGGACACTGGGGTACTGAAGATGCTGTTTCCCTTTGCATGATTTTTATCATACAATAAAATATACTTTATGTTTATGTCTGGAGGAAGCCTTGTGAGTGTTTGATGATATAATTGTGCTGGACTGCTGGCAGCCTGGCACCTACCAAATTTTTAAGCTCATGAATCAAAGGCCCATCTAATTATGTATACTAGGAGATTCCTTTGGTACCCTTTGTTTTTATGCGAGTACCAGGACCCTTAGCAATTAGTGGCCAATCCGTTTAATTAAAATATAAATACAACAATAACTTGTTGTATTTATAGTTTGAGACACAGAACAAAAATTAGTCACTAATTATTAAGTGCAGCTAGTACCCTCAAAAAGCGAAGGATAATGGAGAAACCCCTTGTATATGTCCTTTACATGGGGATATTCCTAACATCCTTACTTGCTGCAACACGCTATTCATTCTTGTTTTCTTTTTCCAAACACACTGGAATTGTTCTGTATGTTTTCTTCAACCGGCACTCTTGTTGCTTCTACTACTGTTATTATTTTCCATTTGGCTTTCTAATCTTTCCTTGGAAGTCTTGCTTGTATATTCTCTTAGGTGCCGTTTGGCGCATGGAAATAGATTTGGAATTGGAATTGGAATTGGACCTTCCAATTCTAATTATTGTGTATGGTATGTACATTAGAATTGGAATTCCAATTTTGATTTCAATTCCATGAAATTGAAAATTAACTAGTTCATACTATATACAATTCTACCTTACCCCCTAAGAATTGCAATTCCAAGAACCAAACACAAAAAACAAATATTTGATACTTTATTTTCATTATCTTTGTTGCTTACATGCTCCAGAAACCATTGCTATTGTCATGTTTTGGCAACCATTGCCACTGGCAATCATTGTGGCTGGCACTGGCCGTGTCACCATTGGTGACCTCTAACTGTCATTGCCACCGGCCTCCTCCAACCACTGTTGCTCCTGGCTGGTGTCTTTCGACCACTGCCACCACCAGAATTTTCCAACCACTCCTGCTGCTGGAGGTCTCTGTTGCTGCCAGACTCCTCCAATTACAATTGCTGCTGGTGTCCTCCAATAGAATTCCAATTCAATTCAGAATTTTTATTTTATACCTCAAATTCTTTATTTGTCTCAAACAACAAAACTAAGATTTTTAATTCTAATCATGACAAAATTATTAAAATTAGAATTCCAAACTGTGATTCTAATTCTATAATCCAAATAGATCCTTAATGTATTTAGGTGATCAGTTTGGAGTTGATTAATTCTAATTCTGGGTGGTCCTATGTTTTTGAATTCTTCACGAGGCCATTTGAGAATATTAATAACTAGCTTTCTTCATTTTGAAGCAAAATATTTTTGTATTTTAGAGTTGAAGTTCTTGTCAATTTGTGAATAATTTTAGGGGGTGTTCATCGGGTTGAAACAACCTGATCACATTATGCTAAACTCTGCTATTTCCTATCCCCCAATTCCAGATTTGTTAGTTGAAACCATGTAATCAAAATTTAAAATTTGGCAGGGCCAGTGACCACCATATATCTAATGTATTCTTCATATAGTTCAAGATAAACCAGGGTTTAGAAGTTGCAGAAGTAATTAATAGTGAATATAAACTCTGAATTTCAGTATCAAATTGTGAGCATATGATATCGTGCTGAGTATCTTGCTCATTCTGATTTTATGGTATGTTGGATGTGAGTTTACCGGCTCCCCCAACATTTGGTAGGTAGGGACTTTTTGTGCTGCTTACATGTCAACTGTAGTTGTCTTTTCCTGTGTTAGTGTAGCTAGCTTCTCAGCAGTAGCATTTATCATTATGTCATTGGTCTGTTGTGACTTCCTGCTTTGTATACTGATGTAGCAGATCTCTTTTTCTGTATTAGTTTGTTAGTCTGTTTAGCTTCTATTAACTTTGCTGACTCATCACTGAGTTAGCCTTTGCTCTTTAAATAGAGCTTAGTTGCGTTCACTGTATTCAGTTAATTCATTCCATTCAATAATACGATGGCTTCTTCCCATCTTTCTCTCTCAAAACTTTCTCTCATTTTCCTTTATTTTCTCTCAATTTCTCATTCTGTTGAAATTCTAATATCCTGATATGATCTTTATAAATATTGACTATGATGGTGATTAACTTCTCTGTCATTCATGATTATTGCAGAAGATCAGAATAGGGTAACCAACAATAATCGCAACAAACGAAGAAGAGAATCCCCAAACCGAATGATTATTAATTGTGAACTTTATATAAATTTGGAAGGCCGTAGCAGTTCTATGGTAAAAGAAATCTTTTGTTACATGTTATACTGTTTCATGTTCTCTACTTCTCTGTCACTTGTTTATCTGAATAAATTAGTTGTCAGATTTGTAATAATTATTTTTCCACCTTGTAATAAATAATTTGGTATTACCTGTTTATCATTTGTTTCTAGCTGTGATCTTAAGTCATTTATGTGTAGTACTTTTTATTTTCTGGTATAGAGGCATTCAGTTTAATTTAATTTCAGGTGCTTAGAACATCTCATCAAGATTTTTCTGACTTATAATACAGTTGTATGGAGTCGGTTATGAGACTGAGTAATAACCTTTTAACAGTTTTTAGGGACCCAGTGAGTTAGTCAAAACTTGTTAGGGGACAGGGCTAATTCCTTTGGTGGGGGCTGGCTAACACTGACCAAATGCTGGGTTGTCACACTTGAATTTTAAAATATATGAAGAGAAGAGATTTTCTGGTGTTTCTAAACTGAAAATTATTACTTGCATGTGATGGAATTGATGCAAACTCTGCAGTTTGATATTGCTGCATGTTTTCGCATATGTTGTGTTGGTAAGCAGTTCATTATTTCAAATATAACTTGATATTGGTACATCCTTTTAATGTGTTGTAAGATACTGGCTAGATAATCAAGGTATACCAATGCTTTTCACAATGTCCTAGTTTTCATGTCTGTTTCAACTTTTAATTCTCCTCTTTTGTGCTACGCTGCATGCATGAAATCATATTTTTTCCAAGTAATATATAATTTTTGCCTTATCCTTAGAGTTGTCTCTTTTTAGGCTCTATATTGTAAATATATCACCCATTGATATTTAATCACTGCCTCAAACAAATAAAGAACTAATAGATGACTGTGAAAGTTTATTGGACTTCAAATTTCTGGTTTGACTTGTACATTCCTTTTGCAGAGGGAAAATGTTAAAAAGCCTCCTGAACCTCCTAAGGAGCCTGTTTTCAACTGTCCAATATGTATGGGTCCTTTGGTAGAAGAAATGTCGACAAGGTGTGGTCATATTTTTTGCAAGAATTGCATCAAGGCTGCTATAACTGCTCAGAGTAAATGCCCTACATGTAGAAAAAAGGTTACTGCGAAAGAACTAATAAGGGTGTTTCTCCCATCAACTAGTTGAAGGTATGGCCAAAATCACTGATGATTATTGATGTTGGCTGACTGAACTGCCTTCTTGTTCTCACGTAGATGTAATAAGTTGTAGGTCTAGAAAAACCTGCCATTACTTGTATTAGTGAACTTTTTCTTTTGGATTTTAAATAAAGTTGATTTAACATTTTCTTCATTAATTCACATAAGTACTGTATACATAAAATTAAGGAGCTATCTAGAGAAATTTAGATATTAGAGAAATTAAAAAGAAAAGATGCTAGAGATAACAATCGATATGAAAATACCAGAAGTGGAGAAAGAAAATTGGATATAATAATTTGAAATATCAGTTTTATGCCATGATACATGGGTACTCCTAATTGGTTGCCATACCGCGTATCTGATACCGGTACTTTTCGGATATGCATGGATATGTACCCAATACTCACTGATCACTCAAGTACTAGTCAGTCCATGTAAAACGCCATGTTTTGTTACTAAGTGGTTTGGTTTGCTACTAAATTAAACAAACTGCTAATTCACTCCCTTCACAAGTTATGCCTTCTTTTAATATTTTTGCTTGCTTGAGTTAGAACATTGTGAAATTATACGTATCTTATGATTTAATTACTTCATTGTTTATGATTTTATATTTCTATATAATATATCCGCTGTACCCTTCCTTGATGTAGGCACTCGAACCTGTATCCATTCAACTTAGATTTTATGCATTATCTGGTTTTGTTTTTTCTTTGATAATACGAGGATTTCCTCAAGTTTCATGGGGAGCTTAAAAAAATGTGTTTGGATAGAACTTTGGGAACTATGCATTTATCAAATTCAAAATGGATTCGACCACGTAAACGTTCCAATGTGATTAATAGCTATCCTTTAAATAGGATAGAGGGCATGTAAGATACTTTCGGATGCTGTTGTTAAGTAGAGTACTTCAGGAAGTGTCTGATGGAAGTATATAGCGGTAAACTAAAATTGGACCTTGGTGGATAAAGCTAACTTCTTCGAGATACTGGCTACGGCCATACTTCGTTTGAATGAGCTAAAGCATAAAAAGGTGGCTTTTGAATAACTAAAGCATAAAAAGGGGGCTTTTGAATAAAATATCTAATGCATATGCGAGCTTTTTGTTAGGGTCGGGCATAGCCGCAATACCTTCCTACCACTGTTTAATTAGAAGGCAAAAAATAATAAATCTTTTTGCAATAGTCTTTCGTTGTAAATTATACACAGTAGACGCAATACCTTCCATTGAATGGTTGCTCTTTTGCCAATCAACAGGGTTCCATATAAGCTGTGCTAAGGAGAATGGGGAGCAGAAGAACCTTCACTGTACTTTGGAGATTACCGAGTGGCTGTGTTGTTTCTATTATGTTTCCCGTAGCAGATTCTTAATATGTTTTCAAGTAGTTGTTTCTCTTATTTTCATATTAATGCATAAAGATGCTTGGTAGATATAATTCCTTGTTTAGTTTTTTTGAGCTTTCATGTTATGAATCTTCAGACTTTCTTTTTGGTGAAAATATAGGCCCGGCTATCTCCCATTCTTGACTACGGGGATTTATGTATGTATATTAATCCCTCATGAATTTACTGATCAGATTCCTTTGCTTCGATGTTAGTGCAGCAGTTTGCCAGAATGAATAGTTATCTGATTTGGCAATTATTTTTGCAGTACTTGTCCAGCATGTGGAGTTTAAGTTTAGGTGCTATTCGTTTGCTAGTTTAATGCTGCTTTCATATCAACCTCCACGCTGATATCTTTTACTTGACAAAAAGGTTCCAGGGTTTTGATTAAAAAAAATTGTTTGTAAGATGCATTACAAAATTGTGGGCTTTCCTTTTTTTAAAACTAGTCTATTAAGCACGGAGGAAAAAAAAAATCGATTTGTTTGTCTCGTAAAAACTAACGCAACACATGCAAGATGTCGAACCTACATTTGTGATCCTTCATCCTCTTAGAAATGAATTAGTAATAATCTACAAATGAAAGTATGAAAAAAAAAACACATGAACATGTGAGTACAAATAAAAAGTGTTATAACAATACATTCATATATTGATGACCATGAAATATTGTTTATTCAAAAATAGCAGTTAACAATATACTATGTGTGTATGAAAAGTGATTCCTGCATAAGAAAAAAAAAGTAGCAGTTAAAAAAACCTAATGTTAACGAATATAAATAAAAAAGCACTTCATTGCCATTTTTTTTGTCTTTAACTGTACCAAGGAGTGATGTTATCTCATAGTAGATAGAAGGAAATTCACGACATTAATCTTTGAAATACTTCCTTGTAAATTATATCAAGGGTACTATTTGTAACACAACCGTTTTCATTAAGTATCAATATCTTTAATCCATGCTTGCTCTTTACTCTAGACAGTGTCACATATAACTGCCCATGAGTGAAGACAGGCTTGGGGAGATAAATCGCAACATGAGAAAGAGATTGTCCTTGGCTCTTATTGATAGTCATGGCAAATGAAACAATCAGGGGGAATTGTCTTCTTTGGAAATTTATAGGAAATGTGTAACTTAATGGGCTCATCGTCATTCTAGGTTTTTATATTTTATCTCAGAAATGAACTTTCATTTACTACAATCAGATTTATAAAATAATAATAAATAATTATTATTTTTGAAAAGGATTTGTGTCGTTAGTCCTTGGAATTTCACAAATTTGTATTTACAAAAATTAAAATCAGATTTAGTAATTTAATTATAAAAGAAGAAGGATAAAATTTCAGTTGAATTATAAAAATATATTGGCGGGCCGGCCCTCCGGGCTGAGGTCAGTTTTCCACCTCTAACTGTCAGCATTTTATATAAATAATTATTTTTTGCAAGGTTTAGTGTCGTTAGCCTTTGAAATTTCACAAATTTGTATTTACAAAAATAAAAATCAGATTTAGTAATTTAATTATAAAAGAATAAGGATAAAATTTCAATTGAATTATAAAAATATATTGGCGGACCGGCCCTCTCCGGGCCGAGCCCAGTTTTTCACCTCTAACTGTCAGCATTTTATATAAATAATTATTGTTTGCAAGTATTAGTGTCATTAATATTTGGAATTTCACAAATTTATATTTACAAAAATTAAAATCACAATTTTTTATTTAATTTATTTCCAGATTTTGAATTTATTTTACAATATAAATAATTTTGTTATTTTACAATTTTTTAATGTTTTTGTTTTTTTTATGCAGCATTAATAGGGCAAACAAATATCTATGCAAAAAATAGTGGGACATTAAATGAGTTGTCTGCCACCATAAATGATTAACTTAATTTTCCATTGATTTTTTAGTTCAATTTTTAATAAAAATTATTATTTATTTAATTTTTTTTTTGCAAATCCTTTCCCACCATTACAATTTGAAATTTAAAATTGAAATCCAAAATTTGAAATCAATTCAGAATTCGAATTTCAAAAGAGTGAGGAATGAGAAGAAAATCGAAATATGTGCATTAAATTTTAATAATTTATTTTTTACAGAATCATAGATGTAATTTTTTAATTTTTTATTAAAATTTAAAATTTAAATTCTTTTATATTAATTATATCTTTTTTTTTAAGTTTTTTCTCGTTTAATTTAAAATTTTATATTTTTTAAATTGGTTATACATACAAATTTAAAACGTTTATATTAATTTTTTTTAAAAAGTACTCATACGAAAATTTTTCTTTTATTGAATTATTTTTTATGTTAAATTTTTAATTTATTTTCTTTTGAAGTATAAATATGTCATTTCTGATTTTTTTCATTTAATTTCCAAATTTAAATTATTTTGTATCAACTATATTTAAATTTTTATAATTTGAAACATTTTTTTTGTTTAATCTATCATTTTCTCTTTTAAATTTTAATTGTGTTTTGGTAAGAAATTGATTGATTAGTAAATGGCAGCTTATGGTGTGTTGTTATGTCTGATTCTTTACACAGTCTTTTAAAATTTCTTTCACTGTATAATTTATGACATTTACAGAGAATTTTAATTTATCATTCCTTTTATTATTACTTACAGTTGGTGATTGTCCAATTTTTGTAAAAATTCGAATGCCGTATTAGAGTTGACATTTACATAAAAATTTCCGCCACCCAAAACTCTCCAAATCTTTTCCGACCATCCATATTTTAAATTCAAAATTTGAAACCATTTCAAAATTCAAATTTTAGATCAGATGAGCAATTCCAATGTAAAAAGCAATTAAAACAGCTGAGTCATTCCATTTCAAAATTCGAATTTTAGATCAGATAAGTCATTCCAATTAAATGAGCAATCAAAATTCAAATTTCAAAATTCTAATGTAAAAATCAATTAATTCAGCTGACCAATTCCAATGTGATGGGCAGTAGGACACTCAATAACTTGTCTGCCACCACAAATGATCATTTATTTTTTGATTTAAAAAATAAAATTCGATTTTTAAAAGAAAGTTTTTATATGCCATGTAGTGTGAACACAATTTTCAGAATTAAGCAGGGAGTGACACATCAGTGAAGTTTTCAACATTGAATTTTCAAATATATATATATATATATTTGAATTTAAAAAATTAAATCGAAATATTTAAAAAATGAAATTTCAAAAACAAAATCGAAATCATATTTTGAATTTTTAAATAGAAATCATATCTTGTTTTAAAAGAGCTGATCATTCCAATGTAGAAATCATGATCAGTTTGAATTTGAAATTTAAAAAGAGCCTCTCAATTTAAATTTAGAAATCATCATCATTAAAGTTTGACATGAAACAGCTGAGTGGGACAGCTGGGCATTGAATAAGGTGTCCTGCCAAATGCTGTAAAAGCCCAACCTGCATACTTGGGAGTCTTGTTCCTTTGGCACTCTGTTAATGTAGGATGAATATGGAAAACTTCTTCTAGCTATGGAACATACACCATATCTCCTAATTCCATCTTTTTGTAATCCACTTGTTCTCCATTAACTTCAAAATTAGCTAACATATTAGCTTTAATTCCAATAGTAGCAGAATCTGCTACTGGAGAATCTGGAATTGGAGGAGCAGAGGGATCCTCATAAGGAACCAGTGGAAGGAGGCTCATATGATCAAAATGACCATTGTGCTCAGTATGCTGAGGATCAAAATCATTGAAGACAGTTTGCACTTGGTCTTTTCTCTTCAACTTCAAAAACGCTAATACATCTTCATAGGCTCTTCTTAAAACGATTCCTCTACATTTCATTGGGGAATCAAATGAAAAAAGTTGGCCTATTGATAACATCATCTTGTGTAGTAAGAGAAAAAAAAAGCAATCAATGCATCATACAACATATAACAAAAAAACATACAATATAACTAAAAGTTGACTACATTAATCAAATTAATTTAAGCAACATTATATCACTGATACTTAGCTGTAGAGCTTTTCCTTTCTCACCTTGAATATTTAAGAAGTGTGATATACAATGATACAAAAGTAAACCCAAAGACCTCAACTTCATCCCACAACTTCATCTCAGAATAAAATGCATTTACTATGCTTCTTATCACAATTGAGAAGAGAAGCATAAATACACTAAAGTATAAAATAATACTAACAGTTTTCATGGAAATAGAAGTCATTGCAGTTCAATGGAAACAGAAGTCATCTCAGTTCCAATGCCAAAAGTACATCAAAATTTAAAGCAACTGACCTTGCCAGCTTTTGAGAAGAACTCATATACATCTCTCTCTGTTGCTTTTAGAGGAATCTGTGATCACCACATAGCAAATTAGGCAATCATAAAAAAAAAGACACCAAATATCCAAATATGTTATAGACATTAATAATATTCAAAACAAACAAAAAAGAGCATCCAATCAACCTGGTAAGCAAAAACAGATCTCTGATCCCTTTCTGGGTCTGCCTCGGGTTCCACAGCCTCTTTCTTATCCAGAAATCTCCTGCAACTCAAATTAAAATTAAGCTGTAAGAAAAAATAAGTAGAAAAGTTCGTAATAGTTGAATTTGATATTATGATAATATAATCTCTATCTCTCTCCAAAGATATATTATTTATATTATGATCCAATACGGCACCTAATGTTGAGAGGAAGCAATGTCTCAAAATCTTACTGTCAATATAACTTCTAGCACAATGCCAAAAATACATTGCTAAAATTACAGTCCAAAATGTTATACTATGTCTCAAATTCTCACCGTATCCATTATTCCAAATCATATTTTGTCGATATAAGAGTCCTCCAAAAACAGCACCTCATAATCATTATGCATACATACCAGGGTATATGAGAAAATCCCTTAGCATCAAGTAGAATAGAAATGCAAGAGAACCTGTTGAATTGTTTGAAAGTAGAAATCACATCAGAGGCGCAATCACAAAATTTAAAACATTAAAAAAACACTTGATAACTCTGAATGAGCAAGACTGGGTATAAAAAAGGGAAAACATCAGTAAATGCATAACTGTAATTAATACATACATATAACATACCTACAGATAAATAGAAATACAAAACTAATAACCTAAATGATGTGAGGTTCCAACCTTGTATCTCTTGTACTCAGGCATTTATATTAGAATAGAACAATTGTGCCACTTAAAGACATACCTAAGGGCCCACAGACGGAGGTAAGAAGCTGTATTAGACATTGCTCCAAGTACAAATTCTATGGTGTGAATGAGTTGATGTACAAAGATTTCACTGAAATCAAATTCCTCATGAACATGGGAATCATGACTTGCCTCCACTTGCAAGCTCTCCTCTGTGCTTTCGAGTGGTATATAGGATTCAACTCCATGCCTCTGAAGTAACATAACTATTAGAACCAGAACAATGTTCTGAGAACATAGGTAAAAGCTCCATATTAGAACAAAAAGAGAACTTGAAGTACAAAAGGAAGCATACATCTTGATGTTGCTTCTTCAAAATAAAAGGTTTTGGCAAAAGCATCCAGGGCACAGCGACAACAGCTAGAAGCAAAAGCACAAGCTGGTAGGAACAGAACAAAGCACGTAAGTATTATTCTTACGGAAATACACCAAAAGGTGGGGGGGAAGGGGTGTTGGGAGTTAACCAACCTGCAGATTTTTCTGACCAACAAAGTGTTGGTTTTCACCCAAATCATTTGTCGGGCTCAGGAACATGTAGATCATTACATGGTACAAATCAGCTTGAGAACCAGTGACCCACTTCCAAATAATAAGAAGGACGGGTAGTCAAATAGACTGTTGAGAAATATCATCTAGGGAATGAATTGGAACCTGAAAGAGGTGAAATTTTGAAATGAAAAATTACATTAATTCTAAATCAGTAAGCAAGTTCCTAGTGATCAAAATTCAAAAGAATCAGAGATTTGATTGCAGATGTGAATAACCGTGCTAAACATAAGTGAAGACAGTCAGGGAACTCACCTTGCTGAGATTTCAAGGAGTGAGTCCACGGGACTCGGTGGTGACAGTGCTCCGTCAGGAAGCGGCAGAGGTGATCAACAGACATGGAGGAGGCGCCAGCGGCCAAGCGATGGAGATGGTCCTGTTCGTCGAAGAGAGCATCCGTGATGGCGGTGTTCTTGTGACAGGGTTTCGATTTTTTTTTTAGACGAATTGTTGACAGGGTCAGTATCTGCTGAAATGAATTACTGGAGGAGATGAAATTGGAAATGGAGATGAGGTCGGTCCTGTCGCGATCGTACAAATCGAACGCATCGCGGAGCTTGGCGGCATCACCGTGCGGCGATTCTGAGCTTGCTATTCTTAGCACACATGGAGAAAGATAGAGAGAGGCGGTAGAGAGATTATCGTGTTCAATTAGTTAGATCGTGCTGAACGTGTATATTTTGCAATTCATAGAACAATGAGAATGCTTGTATATTTTGTTAAACGTTTGACAATTTCAAGAAAGCAGGTGAACATTAACTGAGTTGTCAGTTTTTAAAAATTAAATTTAAATTTTGAACTCCAAATTTCAAATTTCAAAAAAAGATGAGTTGTGTCCTAATAAAAATGAAAACAGATCTGCACCATTGATTTTAGGTAGCAAATCGTGGCCATCAATTTTGAGTCCATATTATAATTTTTTTTTGAATTTTTTTATTCCCTGAATTACCAAAAAAGGAAACTTTTTGAATTGTGTAGTGTGAAAGCAAACACGTGTCAGAAGGAGAAGCAACCACGTGTCAGAAGTTGCCAAAGAATGGCTTTGTCTTAGAATATAAGATTCGATTGAAGAAATACTTTACAAATCATACGAAGTCATCAAGGTAGCGTACTAGCGTTTGAGCTTACAAGATTCCCAATTGTTGGGAGCATTTAAGGAAACGCTAAAAACGTCTCATAATTATCCAATGAGTGTAGTTCAGTTGGTAATACAGGTTGAGTAGAGTGGGAAGATAATTTGGGATTGATTTTTACCGAATACATCTTCGAGGGAGGGTGAGGAGTTTTAACTGTAATTAGGATTAGTCTCATAGTTGATTTAAAGAATTGAATTTTATTGAAATATTTAGGGGCTAACTTGCTTCAAAGAAGTAATTATAATCACTATATATATATATAAAAAAAAAGTATGATCATTTCGAGATTTTATTACAGAGCACCAATAAACTTGCCAGCTATATGAAAGGCACTAGAAATTGATAATTTGTTTAATATTGTAATTTGCACGAGCAATATGGTTTTGGTTTAGAGTACACCCAATCGTACATCACTGCACTATTCTAATTACCAATGAAAGAAAAAAATATACATGTGAATAAATTTGAGGTTTGTGCCTCTGGGTAAGGTGGAAGGAGTCTTGAGCATGTTCATCGGGTGTTTTTGTTGCTAGTTTGCGATTATAAAGAATTCACCTCTTTTGATGCATTTTCTTTACTTGCACTCCGATATCAGCAAATAACTAATCACCAGAGATATCGTTGGCACTAGGTAATCAAGTTTAATCGTACAATTATTTAAGAGTCCATTTGAATGGATTTCTTTTCCATGATTCAGAAAAAAAATTAAAATTATTTTAATGTAAAAAAATTGTTTGGATCACAAAATTAATAAATACTCTTTATATATAAAAGTACTAAAAAACCGACATGTGATGATAGTGGCGATGGTGAATGGGAGCAAAGTTTGGATAAAATTAAATTTTGAGAAATATTTAGTTTTTCACTTTGAAAAAAAAAAAGCATTATAATTTTTTTTTAATAAAATTTGAATTCAAATGTATCCATTAAATAAAAAGCACCTGTGTTTAAAAGAAAATTTCCATCTCGGGCCTAGTTTAGATCATTTGTTAGCCTCAAGGATGACTTACATAATCCTTCAATCCTCCTTTCATAACCTGGTAAATGAAACACTACGAGGAGTCCTGAAAGTCTAATCTAGTGATATATTATAACAAAAAACAATATTTCAAATGATCATGAATTGTTATTGTAACATCCCAAGGGCTGATATGGACAAAGAGTAATCATCGGTGCAAAAGAGATAAAGCATGAACTATAATAACCCTAACATGTGAATTATGAATTTATGGATTAATTAGAATTTAATCATAATTAAGATGATTTAATTAGATAAGATATGTAATTAAATGAAATAGAGTCACTTTTGAGAAAAAGTGTAATTAGTGTAAGTTTTGGAATAAAAATGTAATTATGTAGAATTTACCTGAAATTTGAAAATAATGTGTTGAGACGTTATTATATGGATTAAGTGAAAGTTAAAATCATGCTAGATGAATTAAATCATTGGTTTAAGTTAAAATTCATAAAGGGAGCTAGAAGGAATTATGATAAAAGAGTGTTGACTTTTTTGTTTAAGTGATTAAACTTAAAATATCATTATTGACCAACACTTAAATCATTTCATGTTCTTCATCATACTCTTTCTTCTTCATAGAGAGATCATATCTGGGCTTAATGCCTCTGTATTTATAGTATTGAGCGCCTTGTTTCATACCGCTTTTCATAGAACGGTGTTCACTTTCATTGATAGAGAGGGGTGATCTCTCTTTGCCTATTACTTGATGGAAAAGCTCATGCATTAGATGTGTGGCAAGGAGGAGTTGCCTTTCATTCATTGGGTTCACATGGTGGCCAACTTGTCTGAACTGTTGATCTGGACAGTAATGATTTCTTTCAAGTTATTCACATTGGCTTGATGGAATTGGATCTTTATCTCGTATAGGTTCATATCACTATTCAAATTCTTCGTTAGCTCACTTTTTAAAGATTGATTTTTATTAACTTGGGTCTGCCCATTAAATGATTTGTAGTTCATTACTTGTTTTTTTTAACTGTTATTATTTTCAAGAGCTAACAATCTTATTAAAATATTTTTATTTTTTTTGAAAACTTTATAAACTCCCTTAATATATATTCGATCATTTTATAAGTATTATTTAGTAAATCATTTTTTAATGTTTACAAATTGTAACTATCATAATCTTATATCTAACTTCAAATAATCGAATTCCAGAGATTAAATTTTTTGGATTATTACGGTAAAAATAAAATTTAGATTATGCAATAGTAAAATAACAAATTAAAAGTGATTTAAAACGTAAACACCCCTAAATATTTTTTTATCAACTTATTTTACTTTTGAGAAAAATATAAAACTTTTAATAGAATGAATACCAAATATCTTCCTTTTTTGAAAATAAAAATAAAAATAAAAATATATCGAAATGAAAAAGTAAAAAAGCATGTTTAAAGCTGGGTCGGGCAGGGCCTGTTCAGGCCCATCCTTACACATATAAAAAACGATTCTAATTAGGGTTAGTGTTTTACGTCGCCACCCACCAGCCACAGATACCAGCAGCAATGGTGAGAGTATTCTTATGCCAAGCTACATTTTCTGGCAATGTCTTTCGTTTTTCTTGGTTTTGATTTTTAAGCTGATTTTTATGTTTGAATTTTCGATTTCGAGTAACCTACGCTTATTGTTGTATTTGATTTCTTACATCTTAGGCTCCCAAAAGAGGTGGAAAAGCTCCTGTTCCAGCTTCTAAGAAGAAGCCTGTATGTAACTAACTGCTTTAAATTTAATCTGATTCACATCTCAGAGTTTTTTTTTTTTTTTTTTTTTAAGTATTATGTGTTTTTGTTTCATTATTTTTGAAATTTCAGGAGAAGGTTACAAACCTGTTGTTCGAGAAGCGTCCTAAGCAATTCGGAATCGGAGGGGCATTGCCTCCGAAGAGGGACCTGACCCGGTTCGTGAAGTGGCCCAAGACCGTTCAGATTCAGAGAAAGAAGAGGATACTTAAGCAGAGGTTGAAGGTTCCACCAGCTTTGAACCAGTTTACTAAGACCCTCGATAAGAACCTTGGTAAGTAAAACTCACTAAATGTTTGGATCTGATTCTATTGTGTTGTTTTTGTGAGGTTAGGTTTAATATTTGTTATTATTTTATTATAGATGCGTTATTTATTTAGTTACATTTGAATGTGTTAATGCCGTTATTTATTATCGATTGGATGTTCTTTATTCAAATAAATGTTGACAAAGTTTCATACGCCATGATTTCGAATTTCTGATATATGGAGTGCTTTTAAGCAAGGTAGTCAAAATCGGGATTTTACCTAAGTTCGGAAAGGGAATAAAAAATAGTAAATCGTAAAATCGTAATACAAATCGTAGATTTTACCTGCACTCTAAAATTAAATTTTTATATACATATGCTTATGTATAAAAAAATTAAGAAAAATAGACTACCTGCCACCATCTTTATACATTTGCATATAATTGTCACCTCTAAGTGTCTAAGCTAATAAATCATTCAAGTTATTATCATCGAAGACATTCAGTTCCAGTTCCACGTGATTTTCAACTACATCATTCGAAATTGTCTTCTTCTAAACTTTCATCATGAGATAAAGTTCTTTCATTTTTCACAATCCATTCATCTTCGGATGAAACATCAGCAATGTAACAATTTTTCTAACTTGCTTAACATCGTTCCAATAGTTAAAATCGGGATTTAAATCTTAAAATCGTGACTTAAGTAAATGTCTAAATCGGGATTTTATTTTGGAAACGATTTTAAGTGAAATCTAAATCGTTTTAGCAAAAATAAATCGTTAAAATCGAGATTTTAAGATTTAAATTCCGATTTTAACTACCATGGTTTTAAGTTCTAACAATTTCAATCTGCAAAACCTTAGGTTGAATTATTGCTTCTAATTTTACTGGTCAGAGGTTGCACCATACTTTTGAAGTGGTATTTGTCATGATGAGTGTAGGTTCATGAGATGCATTAGTTATTTGGTTCTTGTTGAATATACCTTGGACTCTGCTATTTGCTTGTGGTTTTGATGTGCATTACTTATTACTTTTTCATGTCATATAACTTAAGTTGTTTTGTACTTAATTGTGTGACATGTTCTGCTGCTTTTGTTTGTGTTACAATTTGATTATCTTTATTAATCTCACATGTAGCAACTAGCCTGTTCAAGATACTTCTTAAGTACAGGCCTGAGGATAAAGCAGAGAAAAAGGAGCGGCTTTTGAAAAGGGCTCAGGCCGAGACCGAAGGCAAAACAGTTGAAGCTAAGAAGCCTATTGTTGTCAAGTACGGACTGAATCATGTCACCTACCTTATTGAGCAGGTTTGTCTTTTGTTTTATTACTGTGTGATTGCAGATTTTTTCCCTTTATTATTAGAGATATTGATGAATGACTTGTTAAGCTCTATTTTCCTAGCAGAATAAGGCGCAGCTGGTTGTGATTGCTCATGATGTGGACCCAATTGAATTGGTTGTCTGGCTTCCAGCCTTGTGCAGGAAGATGGAAATTCCATACTGCATTGTCAAGGGCAAGGCACGCTTGGGATCGGTAAATTTCGTTTCAGTATTGTGATTTCAATGCTGTTTAAATGTCCTTGACAGCCTAATGTTGATCCCTGATTTAATGCACATGCATTTGAACAGATTGTCCACAAGAAAACTGCATCTGTTTTGTGCTTGACAACTGTTAAGAATGAAGACAAATTGGAGTTCAGCAGAGTCCTAGAAGCTATCAAGGTGGAATTGAATTAAATTGTTCTATCTTTTTTTTCTGCTCTTAATGCTCTCGTCAAAATCTGAATGTTTTGTGTGCTGTGGCTTCCTTTCAGGCTAACTTCAATGACAAGTATGACGAGTACAGAAAGAAGTGGGGTGGTGGGATCATGGGTTCCAAATCCCAAGCCAAAACCAAGGCAAAGGAAAGGCTTCTTGCCAAGGAAGCTGCTCAGAGGATGACCTAGGAGTTTCTTATATTTTTGTTGCTTTCTACTTGCATTTTGTGCTTTTTTTTTAAAAAAAAAAAAATTAGCCTATTCTACTTAAACTTAAGTTTATTTTTCTAGGATGGCTTTTTGAATTGTCACCATATAAACATTTGTTATTCACATGAGCCAAAGTATTTCATTAAAATTTCCTGCCCATTGCTCCAATCGTGAATACAAACTAGAGTGTCTCGCGCCGCACACTTTAGGTTTTTTCCATAGAATCAAATTGGTATATGTAGCTTGCATCGAGTTTCAATCCAATTCTGCATTGCTATTCTATTGTGCTGGATGAGAAAATAGGCCTGTCGAATTGTAGTGAGCAAGTAGACTTAGGCTGTTTGGATGGGCATTTTTTAGCTAAAAACTGCATTTTTTACTTTAAAAAAAGCACATCTATTACAAAGTTTGTTTGAATGTCTCTTTTAAAAAAAGTCAATTTTTTTTTTGAAATTATAAATTTTAGCTTTTAAAAAAGTATAAGTCAAAAATTAAGTATTTTTTAAAAAATGTAATTAGCTTAAATTTTTGTGAAAACATATTTAAAATAAGCAAGCAATTTTTTTTTTTTACGAGCTCATCCAAATTGCCTTATACATCCAGCTCTTATGTTGTCTATGAGAAATTTTTATCGTATATTTGTCGCAGCACTTGCAATGATTGAATTGGCGCTGGCTGAAAGGCAGTGACAGTGCGATAATTTTTGTGAACCCCAAATTTTACGATCATGATACTTCTGAATTGTACTTGTATTATGTGGGCTTGAGCTATTTGGGTTGGAGGAAAGTAGGTCAAAGGTAAGTATTGAAGAGCAGAGAAAAACTTTATATAACTCAACTATATCAACTAATATATCCACAATTAGTTGTTGGGAAAAATAAATTTTATGTTGTTGGAGAATTTTAATCTCATGTTATAGATACATCAAGTGTGAGATTCACCTATTTAAAAAAATTAAAAACAAAAAAATGAGTGGCACACTTTTTTATAGTGTGTGTAAGAAGAATTTGTTTTCTCATGCAACACGAGAAAAACATATCCCTTTGAACTTGCATTTCTTTAAATACAAAATGACTTAAGTCATTTTCTGGGTTGGGCAATTCGGCTGTCTAAGTTGAGACCTAGATATTATTCTAAATAAATAATGGGACATAAATTTATTAAGTTAATAGATTAGCACCCGTGTAATACTCGTGCAACATGTGTAACTCAAGTTCGATACATGTAATAATACCAAATATCATAGAATGATAAGATAAATTATTATTAAAATAGGCGTAAAGCATTTAAATCTTTATTTAAAGAAAATATAATTAGATAAAAGTTAAGACAATTATTAATTTTGTAGTAATAAAATATATAACCTAAAAGAGAAAATATAAAAGAAGATAAATTTACAATGTTAAGTATTGTCGAAATGACACTAACAAGAAAATGGACTGTAAAAAGTTTCAAAGGAGCAAATCACCGAAAAATGGAAACAAGCACGGTTGTTGTAGCGCCTTGCTACCAACTTTAGAGACAGAGATGCAAATATTAGAAGAAGAATGAAGGGAAAACAGAGAGAGAAAGAGGAGATACAGGGAGAGAAGAGATTTGACAATTTTCTCATGTATATCTTCTTAATAATCAGTTCACTACATATACCCATGGGGGTTTGTGATAACAAAAACCTGATGCAAAATAAAAGAGTATAGTAAAGGAAAATTAACTAATGTATGTAGCTGTGGTGGGTCTCCTAAGTAAATTGGATCTCAGCCAATTATCTTACTTCTAGATCAAGGGTGATCCGTTACATTTCATCGCCCTTCAAACCAACCTCGTCCGAGGTTGAATGTCATGTCCACCAGGGTCAAAGACGAACCTTTGAGCTGATGTTGAGCTTGAGTGAATATAGAATTGAGTAGCATGCTTAACAAGAGATATACCAACATGTATATGAAAAGGAATGCTGAAAGTAATCTCATTGCAATAACCAGAAAAATCTTCCCTGAATTTTGCAGCATGTTTATCAATGTTGATACCCATGAAATCTTTCTGGCATATTTTCACTCCCTTGTAAACCTTCGAATCATTTTCATCAAAGATGCAACCAACAATGTCTTCAATAATATCATCCAGAATTACAAAACCTACAATTCCCCAATACTTGCTGCAAACAATGTCCATGTGAACCTTCATAAATCTTAAGTTTCTTAGAAAATCCCAAATAGAAATTGAATCCGGCAAAAAAAATTCAGGCATGTGAGCCATGGGCAGTGCAAATACATGAGTTGTTCTAGAAAACTCGCACCTTATATCTGTAATACCCATTCTAGAAATCCATGGCATTAGAATTGAGAACATATCAGGATGCAATATAGGTGTTTGGATCAGTACACCGTATCCTCATTTGTCAAGCTCTACAACAACGGTGGACATAGCTGTCATAATCCTTCCTTCATAGCTTCTTTTGTGTTCCTCTGGCCACAGTTCCAGTGACGAAGATGCATATGGGAAATAGCCCCAAGCCATTGCCACCGGATGAAGATGCAAGTGTCTCCCAATGTTTTCATTCTTCAAGCCACTTCTTTTAAGTAATGTTTGAGTACTGAGTGCTCCACATGCTACGATTGTGACCTTGGGCTCCACCACACAAATGATTTTGTCTCCTGATTGCACCAAGTCAACAAGCCATATTTCTGATGTAGATTTGTTCCTTCCATTCTCGCATCCCATGTTACACCAGTCACAATAGTAATCTGGTGGAGCATTCTTAGGACTATTACTCACAAGATATCCCATTTCTTGACACTCTTTTCTCAAAACTGCATTATTGAACCTTTCTGCATCAATCTCAGTTTGGACTCCCATTTTCTCACACACAACATTCATGGCTTCTTTATATAATTCACTTGCAATTAATTCTAGACCATTAGCATTACATCACTCCTTGCATACATGCTAAGGGGTTTTAATGCTTTCTGACCAGTTGATTTCAGAACCTTCACCAAATACCAATTTGCTGCTAACACTTGAATCACTATTCCTATCCACAAGACAATAGGAAAAAGAATGACCATAAAGAGAGTGAAGCTGAGAAGCAATTGTCAATGGTCCTCTCTCTAAGCATAACCATCCAGCAGCCTCAGGAAATAAACCTCTATTCAAATGACCACAACGAAACATATCATTCTCAACAAGCTTCAACTCGGGCTTCCCAGTAGGTGTTGTAAGATTCACTGTGAAAGTTTCAAGAGCAAAATCTCCAATTGTGTTCTATCACTATACCAATAGAAGTATACACAACTTTGATTCACACTCTTGCAAGGTTGAGGAGGATTTGTGGCTGAAACCAATTGACACTGAGGATCATGACAACTTATATTCTTGAAAGAACTAGACTTATCAATCAGAAGCTTAGATATTGGAACAACATGTTCTGCAATCAGTGTAGTAGGGACCATACTGGATGCTTGCAAGAATGAATTTATGTGTTTAAGCTTTGCAGAGAACTCCATGGGCTTCCTTAATAGAGGTTTAATCAATGCAATCGCAACAATGCTGCCAAAAGTATTCTGACCTTTCGAAGGATAATGACGCTTGGCATAAGTGCCAGCTAAGACTAGTGAAGAGATGGACTGCTTACCAGTTAACGCGGTCAATTTATCGTCAATGCCTTTTGCACTTATTTGATTTGGTTTTGGTCTTTCGAAGAAGCTCCATGGGAGGTTGTGAAGTGTATCCAAATATCATTCTAACATATTGAGCTATACCTGAACCACCATTGCCGTTAGTCACAGATACTAGAACCCAACAATCTCCTGTGTATACAAAACTTAAGAATACCTTCCAAATGGACATGCATTTTGTCTGCCATTGGCAACCAAACTCAGTTGCAACAATATCAAGAACTTTGTCTGTAACAATTTCATTTGAACATCCTTTGTTCTTTTTCTTAGAATATTTGAAAACCTCACATATGAGAACAGAATCAGAAAAGCAATCCTTTAAGTAAAGAAAAACATCACATGTCTGCACAATCATAATTTCTGACTTCAGGATTCTAGCTGAACGTAGTTCGTACAAGGAATTGACTAAGCGCTGGTGAATGAAGGTAGGCATTTCGACGAACAGATAGAATGTGTTGTCAATTATACCCTCTTTGCTGTAGAGGGAGATGTGGGCAGTAATGAAGCCCTCGGAGGAGAGTTCCTTGTGCTTCGACTGAGCCTCTAGGATCTCATGGGTAGGGGTGTAAATAGGTTGGGCTTTGACCATCCTGGTCCAAGCCTACGTCAAAAAAAATTCAGTCTATCTGATCTACTGGCCTATTAAAGGTTTTATTTGTAGGCCAAGCCCGGCCCATTTTCAAAAATAAGAAAGCCTGACATGGCCTACAGGCCTTGTAGGCCTCCCACTAAATATACTAAGCAAAAAAAATAATTGTATAGAGCAAAGAAAGTTCCATTCAGGCATGCATTAGTACTTCAAATAAGAAAAAAATGACAAACAAGAAAGAGTCAACATAATACCTCAGCTCTAGAATGTATGTCATAGAGGAATAGAGTCAAAGAAATGGGAAAAATAAGAAAAATACAATTACCGGATACTGAAATAAAGTCTACAAGAGAATGTCATTCATCTAAAAATCTTTAAACCGCAATCAAGACAAGGGAAAGAAGAGTATTATTGAAAGATCTTCATCAGTAACATCATAATCCAGCAAGGTACCCATTGCTCCATGGTATTAAGCTGCAACAACATGTAAAATTTGGAGACATTAGACAAGTTTTCCTTTCATAAAATTAAATAGCACAAAAAATAAGAGATATTGGTATTTGGTACTTTGTGTCTTTGACACATAAAATAAATATTATTTTATTTTAATAAATTAATTAGGCCAGCCTACAAGGCTGTAGGCCGGGTTTGACAAAATTGGCCTATGGCCTATTTATTAAAAAAGTTTTTTTATAAATCTAAGTCTACTCTACTTTTCTGAAAGGTCGGGCTTGAGCTGAGCTCAATGTAGGCCGGGCCGTAGGCTGGGCTGGGCCATCCTGGCCATTTACACCCCTACTGTTGGGTCATTGAGAAGGCCTTTACATCTGCCGAATGCAGTAATCCTCCATCGGATCTACAGTGCGAATTCGTCATTCTGACTCGTACTTCACGAGATGGCG